CTTCAACACTGAATGCTGTGCTTTCAACTGCAAGGAAATTACATCATATTGATCAGTTGAAACCCTTTGAATACCGTAATATTTTGCATATTTGTTAATTTGGTACCAAATGGACATAATTGTATACTGCATAGGTGACTATAGACAACTTTAAGATGTTCAGTTGGCAAAACATGAAGCATTTAGTGTGAGCAAACACATAAACAAAATTTATAACCATCTTAGTGGTGGTTTGTTCTCTTCGCTATTAATTTGGAACACAGTCCATCCCTACATGACCAAGAAATCGTACTTCTTCGAGCGTGTCTGGTCAAAAAGTAGGCGTTTCCTTGGTTAATTTAAAATAAATTGATGTCAAAACAAAGTCACATCATTTATTACATGAGACAACTTTACTTAGAAACAAGTAGTATGTTTTTTAATTATTTCATTGGCCCGAACAAACAAGTCGGAAGAAGTACATTGACCATTATTATGCAATAACTAACATCACGGATATTACATTCATTCATCATTGGCAGTGACCATCGGCGACGAGACATATAGATATTGCTCATCAACTAGTTACTTACTTTTGCGTACTCCTGTGCAAGTTTTTGATATTTTGCTTGCATATCAGCCATCATGTTCAGCTTACGAGACCTATCGTGATCTCAAAAAATGTCAGCTTCTGTGATCATTCGCTATTATTGCCGTTTTTCCATCTTCCGACTTTTCAGCCGACAGAAGGCAGCCATCTTGAATAAATTTATTTTCACAGGAGCATGCTGGGTAAATTTAATGGCGGTCGCCGTTCCGATATTGTCGTCTGAAATACTCAGTACAACCATGCTTTGCTAGAACATTGTACTGATATCGGTTGGTGGACAGACATTCAGACATCGCATGTGTACTCATACACGAATAGTTTAAACTACAGTAGCGTGACACTCGTAACTATCGATCACACGTGTGCTGAAAGGAACCTAGTAGTAACTACTAGTAACATTTTGACTGTCGATTTTCTTTGCGATGTATCTAATTACATCTTTTGCGAGGAAGGCTGCTAGAAGCTGTTTAACTCTCCACTTAACGAATGGCTGCAGCACGACATCAGTCTCGAGCAGGAGAAGCCTCACCACTACCTTGGCAATGACTTCCACAACAACAAGAACATTGAGGACAGCATTTCAGCACATGTGTACAAGAAACGCCCACAGGCAGTCCGTTTTTCTGAAACGCATGAACTTAAGACATTATTACGGTCGTCATAACATGGAACAAGGTCTACCAGATACGAATATTGTTAAAGATATATTGTTGTATGAAAACAAGAATTTCGTGTTTTATCGTGTCATCGGCATTACCGCAGTTATACAATATATACTTTGTCTGTACGCTGCACATGTTGTGTACAATGGGATGAGGGATACGCGATATGCTGAAATGTCTATTTATGGTGATAAACGACCGCCACCAGAGAAGAGGAAAAAAATAAGTTATTTTGGTTTCAATATTGAATTGGGTTCTTCTACATGGAAAAATTGCCTAACAGTTGGATGCGCTGGATTCGGTAATTTACCTGTTTTTACGTCATCTTTCTCAATTATTGACAACCTATCTGGTCTATATGTGTAGTTTCTGCAAAAATAACAATAATCAAACACAAAAGGCATTTGTGAAATAGGAATTTCCAGTGAGAACCATATGGTGTTTGGTTATCATAATTTTCATGAAAATATAAATATTAGGCCTGATAATTACTTACTAAGTGGCTACTGTCTACATTACCCTATATAATGGCAAAAGTGTAGCAGGATTAGTAAAAGTTTCTGATGCAAAATGCTATGTGGAGATAGAAATGGAATTTCTAATGACTATTTCTTCTTTGCAAGATTGTCTTGTACCTACATATCAGTCAATAAAATCTCTAATGGTTGTGTTTATTTCCTCTTTGCTAGGTGGTCTTATCATGGCTGCGATATGGATGTATTCTAGGCGAAGCGTGCACCAACTGGTTCTCAGAAGGGGAGGTCAGAATTGTACAGTGGTGCCGTTTGGTTTCTTTGGCAGGCCGTTTCACTTCACAGTACCTGTGAAAAGCATGTCGTGTCGGCAGACTAGAGATCAAGTAGATACTCATCTACCAATCAAAATCAAAAGATATAGCTTGTTTTTCCTGCTAGATAAAAAAGGCAAATTTTATAATGCCAAATTATTTGATTTCACTGTTGGTATGAGAAGGGTGGTTTAAAACTGAGAAATGTAAACTTTTTTAAAGTAAAATAAAAGTTGAAGCATAAATACAGTCTTTGAATTAACTTTTTAGGATGAGATGAAATTTCCATTCCACTCTCTCTTAACCTTTTCACGACCAGACTTTCAACAACTTGAAGACACCCAATCTTGACTTCACTATTTTCTTATATTCTCCAATATTTCTGGAAATGAACCCTAATTTTTGAGCCGACAGACTAAATTTGAGTCAATTTTCAGTTTTTACTCAAAATTTGGCTATTTTTGTCCCAATCTTCTGAAGGAAAGTGTAGACTATAAACAGGACTACCGGTATTATGTAAATTTATGATGAAAAGTGGAAACTGGTGGTGAAAAGGTTAAAACAAGCAGAGACTATCAAGATGATATTTATTTAAAGCTGCATTATTGAATATACCGGTATATTTTTTGTGCAGTTCTTTTAATGTCTCATCAAATGCAATTAAAGATGGAGGTAAGAAGTTGTTCACAAGTAGCCAGTGATTTTCATAGATTGGATTATGATAGGACCTTAGAGTGTCATCTAGTTTCACACACACAAATTTCGGACCAACGATTAAAATACAGTTTTCTTCCAACTAGAAGTGTGCATGATTTTATGGGAATCCTGTTTCAAAATGGAATCCTCAAAAATCAAGTTGAGTCAGCTTGTTTACTGCTGGAGAGGTCTGTCTTCAAAATTGTATGTTAATGTATAGATTACTTGAGTCGCATACAAAAATGTTGTGGCCTCTGATTTCCTTTGTTTTTACAATTATTTTGTTTATAAAATGTGAATTTCATTTTACCAAATTCCACACTCCATAACTATAGTATGGTAGTCCCTTGCAACAGCACTAAACAAAGGAAAGATTATCTGCTTCAAGTAGGATCTATATTGTGTTATAATCCAAATCCCCCTTGGAAAAGTTGTAACCAGAAATATTCATATGAACTTTCATTTGCAATATGATTATTTTAATTTTCGCATGATAAAAATAAAATGTATAGAATTACAGATTTTGGTTTACCTAATTATTCAAGCCATCAAATAAACTTAAGATTGATCTCTGAAATTTTCTTGAAGCTCTTCTTAAAAATAGTATGGAGAAATGTTTCGTGTAGATGCATCCTGGGTAGCAGGCCTTGTTCATTTTATAAAAAAAAAATATTGTAATAAAGCAAGTTTTGATTGTAAAGTATTTAAAAGCTGCATCTCATCATTAAAAGTTTGATTGTTACTGACATCACTTGAATAGAAAATTATCTTGTTCAACTCTTAGGAATCAATGCACTATAAAAACAAAAGAATAATGCAGTATCGGTATATCGCCCTCATGAACATGATAGGCAGTGTGTGGGTGTCCATGTGTGGCTGCATGTATGCCCTCAATGGTGGATTAGAGAGATCGATGCAGCCTTGCGGGTACTTTGTAGATACGGTAGTTATTTTTCAAGCCATTGACACCAAAGTAGATCACTGTAGGTCATCAGAGTGCGGCATTTAATCAACTGTGGTTCTATGTCACAAATGTGGGAATTTGTTTACATACAGTTAAACAACAACCCTATTAATGTCAGCTGAATCAATTCAAGTACTAGTCCATGGTATTTAGGAGATGACCAATAGAAAGTGGAGGAGGTTAAAGTTGGGTAGAATCTTCACAGACAATTTTTTAAAAAATCTACAGGAAAAGTCGCTTAAAAATATATATATGTATTTGAAATAGAAAAGCAATAATAAATGCAGCAACACTAAGTGAAATGTTTTATAATGGTAAACCCCTTGTGTCATCGTCTTGACGTCAGAAAAATGCGAACTGTTCCACTCTGGATGTAATTATCAATTTTTATCATATTTCAATATTTCACGCTGTTGACACCAATGCAATTCAATGATTGAAATCCAATGTGGGTATAGTCTCCATTTTTTTTTTATTTTCATATTTTATTTATTTTTATTATTATATACATAATTATTATATTACTATCTTTTTTGTTTTACTGACTGTTAACAAGTTTTTCATATACCATATTTTGGTCGCCTTAACTACCGAGATACAATGTATGAAAAAAATTAAGAACGGCAAATAAAACCAAAAAAAAGGTAGAAAATAGCAATAAATAAAATATGGAAAAAGAAAAATTAGAGCCTATATGTACACTGGATTTCAATTAGGATGACCCCAACATAACTATATAATTTCTACAGTACAGTGTATCATTTAAATATACAAATTAATTTGCATTTTACTCCTGTAATTTTCATCTACCAGTATATATAAATTCAGATTTCCATAGCAACATCCTCAGATTTGGGTATAGTATTTATTATTAAATTTCATTCACTGTGAGATAAACAAAATTGTAATTTGAAATTCTCAATTGTTCTAACGAATGACAGTGACTCAGTGTATCAAATGGTCAGTATGAATCATGAGGTGATTGTAGCATGCAATATTAATCTTTTGAATTATTCACATCTGTTGAAAATGCAGAGTCCAATGTCAATTGGTAGAAATAATGGGTCACCCATTTGAAATAATTGGGTGGAGGCGAGAGATTTGTTTTTAAAAAAAAAAATATGCAAGCTTTACACAGAAAAAAAAATATTTTGCATGAAAAGTGTTGCAAGGAAAACATGTTGACATATTCAAGAAAAAATATAAATATAAGACAATGCGAAAAAAAATTTGCACTGGTCACACTCTTGCACCCACCCATGATTTCAAATTGGTGACCCTAACAGGCAAACTGAAAGACAGCTGTATTACGGGTGCAGGTTACGAATAATAATACCCCCTGAGGGGAAAATGTATCTTTTTTACAAGATACTAGTCATAATAAAACATAGGAACAATGAATTTAAAGGTAAAATGTAGAAGTATATTTGATTCTACTATCTGTGGTCTACCTTTTATCCTAGGTTACATCGCAATCATCATTGCTATGGGATACCATTTATGATAATGCAGATTTGGGCCAATCATACGCATCTTTGAATACGCTTCAACCAATGAACAACAAGCAGAAGGTTGTATTACTATAAATATTTTGGGACTTTTTTGATTTTAATACTGGAATTGAATTATTCTTTCCATTGTATTAGAAGTTTATACATCTGCTCTGATCACATGTGTTGCTTTGTAACAATATTGAATTTAGCAGATATCGCCACACACCAGATTGTTGCCAGCTGGCAGAAACGATTATGTAATATATACATCAATTTCATTTATTTTAACCAGATTAATCACACATTTTATATAAAATAAACTACCTCACAGCTATTTGAATTATATTTGCTGCCAAATTAATATGCCATTTATCAGTGTTCCTGGATTACGTACACGAATCATGAATGCAGAGTTTTCAAAAATGGAGCCATGCTTGAAGGCATTTAAGCAATGTGTCTGAAATTGAATCAAATGCTGCGGCTTGTTCTAGAACAGTGTGACTACTATAAGCTTTCCTTTCTCAAATAATAACCTTTTGAATGGCATTTTTACACCAAAGTTTGTCTGCACATTTTTAATAATTTGTTAATATTTCACTAAATAACATAATTTTGCATAACAGTAACTAATCAATATTTTTCAAAAAAATATGTCAAAATATTCTGCAGATTTGTTTTGTGAAAGATGACAACAATTTGACTTTTAGTGTTGGATGGGTTAAAGGTCAAGGGTTAAATAACTATGGTATGAAATATACAGTGGCAGTTGATTAATTTGTGAATTTCAAAATTTTTTCAGTGAATTTTTCAAATATGTTTTAAAATATTTTAACCTTTATATAAAGTGATCACTAACACCACTATTCAAAACTGTTAAATTCCAGGCTGTACTCATGATTCAGTTTGTAAATGGTAAATTGAGTTTTTTGTGGAGAATGCACCTGAATAGTAGAGGATACACTTATTTAAATGACAGAGCTGTGTCTAGTCAAAAGTGAGTGTAAATTGTTAGTTTTGCATGCTCTCTTAGAGTTACACTTCTAAAATTCTAGAGCAAATACTGTAGTGATAATACAGTACAATATGCATTAGAAGCCACGGCTTCTATTAAAATGATACAATGCAACAAACGAGATACAGGCTTCTATTAGAGCAGATACACATGAGGAATTGTGAATTTTTGGTTCTCAATTGTTCAAAAAGAATGGATGTGACACCCCGGTAGGGATGCAGCTTCTCATACAGATTTTAGATACTTCCTTGTAGCTCGTCTATATTGTTCTACTAGTCTACTAAACATTGATAGTAACATTTTTGTTCAGTACCCTCCGTTAGCATTAACTTCAAGCTGTCTCCATTTACAACAATGCCTGTTTACAAGAAACTTGTGTCCTTTGTTTTAAACAGTCCCAGTTTTCTCTTTCTCTACAAAATTCTCTTTCTTTGTTCCAAATGGTCCCAGTTCACATTTTTTTTTTTTTCTCAACATGATATGATCTGACATGATCTGAGAGAGTAAAACTTTCCTACATGTATTTGAAAATGGGACACTTTTTGAAACACACACCCCGTGATGTGAACTAATGAGCTTCATGCATGGTAATTACTGAATATTTGAATGCAACATGTAGTTCACTATGATACATACATGAATTTGGTGCGTTTTCTACAGGTCATTGACCTATATGGAAGTTACATAGACACGTATGCTGTTATGACGATGGGGCTGCAGAAAAACCACCTGGAACTCGCCAAATTCACAGTATTACTTTGTTGAAATACGGCAACTGGGGCGCAAACAGTAGTTAACGACCAGGCTTGAGGGTCTAGTGAACGGGCTACGGACGTTTACTGGAACCTCAACCCCAAACAGGCCATTGATGTTCTTGTAGCTAGAGATTGCATGCATCAGATCTCTGGCCTGTAAATGCAAGCATGCATCAGATCTCTGGCCTGTAAATGCAAGCATGCATCAGATCTCTGGCCTGTAAATGCAAGCATGCATCAGATCTCTGGCCTGTAAATGCAAGCATGCATCAGATCTCTGGCCTGTAAATGCAAGCATGCATCAGATCTCTGGCCTGTAAATGCAAGCATGCATCAGATCTCTGGCCTGTAAATGCAAGCATGCATCAGATCTCTGGCCTGTAAATGCAAGCATGCATCAGATCTCTGGCCTGTAAATGCAAGCATGCATCAGATCTCTGGCCTGTAAATGCAAGCATGCATCAGATCTCTGGCCTGTAAATGCAAGCATGCATCAGATCTCTGGCCTGTAAATGCAAGCATGCATCAGATCTCTGGCCTGTAAATGCAAGCAAACATCAAACTTGTCCAAGTAATCCACCAATGTATGCAGAAAAAAATAAAAAGCACAATTTACCAAACTGTTTTCCTCTTTATTATATACATGTGATGTTCATTTTGACAAAAGACAAGAAAAACAAAATACATGTTGCACTGTTTTAGAAAATAGCACATTCCTCTCTATGATATTGCTGGCAGTTAATGTGCTTTTTTTTCAGTTAGATACAAATTATAATAATGCCAAATATTGGGTTTAGTCGCTATTTGGTCAAACATAATATATACATCTTGGTCACGATATATGAAAAGTTTATTTGATTTTCATCCAATTGCGACAGTAAACCATTGCGCATAATCACCACTATCCCAAAGACGCCAAAAATAATTACTCCTCGCAGTAACCTGCGGAGGGAATCTACAAATACTACTAGTAGGTGTGATTTCAATGATCGCTATATTATATTGTGATCAATTTTCGGTAGATGTAGATACATAAATGGATGAATTACACAATGGTTCGTGTTGTAATCGACCAAACGCAGTAAACCCAAGTTAAAGATGTCCCACTTTTGTCTTGGCTTTGCAACAGTGCCATTTCACAAGCAATAAAACTTAGATGTAAATAGCCGTTGAGATTTTGTTTTTTGGAACACTGTTTGACGGCCATTTTCATCTGATGTCTATTTCAGAAAACAAGTACCTGATATTCATCTTTCTCTCAATGGCAGTACAAGATAAAAGAAAGTATCAATCAGAATCTTGAGGGCACGCCACGACTTTTTCCAAATGAAAATGTGGGTGTGAATCTGTTAACATTTTTAGTTATTTCCTCAAATTCTGATACTAATTGTCAACCAAGCTGACAGAACTCTACATAGCTTTGTGAATTGTTACAAAATTTGACAATAGCGATGGAAAGAGTTAAGTGGTGATGGAACTGTTACAATGATCAGGTTTTACCATATGTATTATAGTACTATTGATACAAAGAGGTATTTTCAACCAAGTTTTGACACAACTTTGATTGAAATATTCACTATTTTTACAGAGCACAGCATGATTTCAGTGAAAAATAAAAAGCAAAATAATATCTACTTTCGATGCATACTTCTTAAGTTGGCAACAAACTGTTATAATAAAATGTCTCTGATTGAAAAGAAAATATTTGTAAAACTTTTTTGTTATACTCTTAGAGAATTTGTTTCTCTCTATTACAGATATACTCCATCAAAATTTGTATTTCGGTGAAAATTGGCAGTGTCGATAGTTTGATAGCTATGTATTGCATCGTTCTAACTCAATTGTAACGCATCGACTTGCCCGATTGTAAAGGTAAATCTCGCTGTGCTCTTTACAGAAAAACAAAAAATAGAAAAAAAATTGCAGGAAAAAAAATACAACTTTGAAAAGTGGCAGATTTGTCACGATTACACATCACCTTGTGTATAATATTGTATATTATTGGTTTAAATGCTAGACTATTTAAAGTTTCGGAAAACATGAACAATCTCATTTTTGCTTGTCTTGCATTTCCCGATCTTACAAAAAAAATGTAATTCTTTGTGAAAGTGATAGAATCGTTACAGATATTATTGGCACTGTAAACTTCTTGTAATAAAAAAAAAAATTTGTAGCAAGATTGAAACCTTCTCCCAGTGTCTATTTCGTGGCATGGATTAGAATTCCATTCTGTCTCTATGGCATGGGAGACTTTTCTCCCATTTGGCACCTACATGTATAAAACTGTACACTGATTTCTATGTCCAGTACTATCAGAAACACAAAATATGTACATAGCTAAGAACTTACAAATGTGAGCTACTGGCAGATGTGTATGATTTATTATTGATTTCTCGGCATAATTGGGGGTGGGTGCATTGCATATGTGAGCTTATGCACATACGTGCATTATCCAACGAGAGGTTCTCAGAATTGTAATATATTTGCATTGTCATCAGATTTCCTTTGATGCAAACATTTTACTCTGATGATATTTGGGGTAATTGATATATTTACCCACAAATGTGCTTTCTATAGCATTTCCTGCCACAATAGTATGTACAGGCAATTTTGATTTTATTCAATGTTGTTGCTAAAAAATTCAAAATATCGAATCAGAAATTCCTACACATGTGAGTTCTCCACCCCCAAAACCATGCCTGTCACAGTTATAATTCAAACACGACTATGTCTTTTTCAAAGAAATAGCCACAGACTAAAATGTGTGTTTGGTGCAAATTTACAAAATAACAAAAATGTTCATGTGAAATGCTTAGTCAGTATTCAGTCAAAGAAATTAGAAAATGTTGCCACAAAGTCACAGAAACAATGGGTTGCTTTCCAAAAGTCATTTTTTTTGTACTCCTATTATATTGATACATTAATTTCCTGAGCCCCATGCATCCTCAAGTATTCTGTAATTTCTTTCAAATAAAACAATTAGCTGAATTTGGAGTGATATGTTAATTAATTAATTAACCCTTTCAACGATTTAAGTCTTCCCGCCCAAATTTGGTGGGATATTTTTGTTACTTTTGGATTAAATTAATGTAATTCATATTGGCTACAGATGTTCATCACAATTTTTGAAAATAAAATCTGGGTAAGAAATGATGCTTAATTAATTCATATTATTAGAAAAATGACTGACTTTCAGAGACTTAAATAGCATAGCATGCCAACATTTTAAAGAATGTACAAAATTACCATCCAATACTGACAAATCAAACAGATCAGAGGGCAACTTAAGCGGGTCGCACAAATTCGTTCATTGGAAATTGGCAACTAACAGAAATATAAAGTTGTTTTTCTATGTGGTAAGAAATAACACCTTAGAACAAAAATATTTTGTTTTTGACTGTCAAATAACTAAATTCTCTAAACTTCTTGTGAGTAAAAAAACATTCACCTAAATTTATTTTATACATATTGTTTTACTATAAATTAAATTTCTTCTACATATTAAATAAAATAAATTGCAATAATTATTAATACCATTGGTGTTTTTTTCAAAAACATTAATCTCTTGCATCAGGGTCATGATTTCATCATTCATGAAATGGTCGTTTTACATTTATAATTTCAACCTACATCTAATTTTCTAAATGTCCTGTAATCAGTTCCATGATTAGAATCAATTTGTTTATTTTTTTATTGAAAAAATCCTCGTCCAACCTGACTTCACTTTGTGAGCAGTTGTCAAATTCTCGCTATACTAATCGCCTTTTCTCATTTCACCTCTTACTAGACACAGCCACGGGAAGGCATGTATCCGTTTTTGTCACATGGTGAATATTGCATCTTTTTTTTTTTTTATAATTACATACAACAGTTATAGCTGTACTAAAATAGAACCATTGTCTTCATCAGTTTTGTTGTCCCTCTATTAAAGGGATTGAATATTCCTAGGCAGACTAAAGCCGAATTAAGTCGACTGAAAATGTGCCGCTCGTCTGAGGCTAAATTGTATTAAGGTTGTTAGGTTGTTATGGAAACTGCATGGAGTCTACTTGCATCATATATATAAACAATGCGTGTTTTTTTTTTACCATAGTATTTCTACGAGACATGTGTATGTAAGTGTGAATGCAGTAATACTGTGGGGTAAGGAGATAAATGGCAGTTGTTTATAGAAAAAATATTCAAACTAAGACTTGATTTGTTTTTTGTTTTTTTTTACCCGCTCTGTAATCCTACGGCATGTGGTCACTATGTTGACCAGAAAACCATCAAGCTACTAGCACCACACCCTTGTAAAACTATTCGCGTCCCTCCCTACTCATTTTCATTTGAAGGACATTTTCATGATTTTAACTTACAAGATCCCTGAATAAACCCCAAGAATCAGACAACATGGCAGCATTATCCATAAATGGGCTCAACTGAAGAAAAAACAAACAAAAAAAAGAATACAGAATTGAAGCTCGTTTGAGCAAGTCCGGTTTATGTCCAGTCATCTTTAAGGAACATCCCAACTCACTGATTGTACACTCTTCAGCCCTTCAGAACATATCGATTGTAATACACAAATTGCACTCTGCCCTCGGTATCACGTATAACCTTCGATATTAAGACGTGGTGGCAGTAGAAATGGCAGAATGACTGTTGTTGTGTATTGGGCTGATTGATCTGATTGGTATGGAAGTGGTCTTAATGCCTGCTAAATTCAACAAGGCATCAGCACCTTCCACTATTCTCATCTCTTCCTCGGCAAAGTTAGCCCGCGGAACGCGTTTCTTGATCGGCAAGCTACTATCACAGACCAACTTGATTGGCTTCAATTCTTCATCAAAACCGTCATCATTAATGTAGCCACTGTCAAAATGTCTTAGTATCTTGCCGTCATGCTCCATCTCGGAATCCGTCTCATCTGTGAAATCACTGCCGTCGCTCTCAAGAGGATCTTCCTCGGAGGAAAAACTGCCATTCTCAGTCGGGACGCTGATAGAGCTAGTCATACTGTATGTATGGTCCTCATTGCAAGGTGGAGTGGACTGCTTGCTTCGCGCCTTCATCAAAGGTGTTGATGTCATTCTGTAAGATCAAGGCATACGACCCATGTAAGCAAACATATGATGGATGTGTTTTGCTCAGGAAAGGCAACACAGGCTTGGAAGTATTAACATTAATCATTATTCAAATAATCAGCTTAATGCTGTAAACTTGTACCCATTTATACTATAATTACATAATCATTATGCTAATTATTATAGACATTATCGCTAATGTACAAAGTAAACATTAGCGGCCAATACTGTTTCTGAGTAAAACAAGTCAATCCAAATGAAATTTGTACTATCGCGGACAGTGTTGTGTTTATCTTGGCTTTGTACAACAACCTCATCACACATACACTAGTGTTATTCTGCTGTTCACTTTAATCAGGAAATTTGCCAATTTTTGTCTGTTTTGTTTAGAGTTAACATCAAACCCGCAGCAAAATAAATCACTGCAAGAGTAAACTGAATTCACTGTTGTCATAGCAACAGTAATGACTTATTTCTTGACTTGAAGTCAAACGCTTTGCTTTCTTTATGTACCCTGCCTTTGTTGGCACACAATATGTCGTAGTAAAGTTAATTTCACATCTGTCATTGATCACCAAGAGCCCACAATAGTGTAGATAATACACACATTATCTTCCTGGCATTAAATACAAGAGACTTTTTTTTTTGTTACTTCCTTCGTGAAACTTCGTAGTCTATTATGTTCATATTAGATGTATGTATCATTACCAGACTCTTTCATAATACATGCTTAGAGAATGTCGTTAACAATTCGGTTAAAGAAGAAATAAGATTCAAATTTGTATTAAACGTAACTTTATCAATGTGTCCCGTAATTCACAATTTAACTTTTCCGTTCAACTCTATTTTGTATTATTTCTTTAAGCACATGATTTTGCCACAGTTGTAAGTTACCGGTAGTCATAAATTGGTCGTCAACTGACGCTCAGCACTATTTCAAATAGTAGGTCTCTTCACGGGTGTGGCATTATTCCCTTTTTGATCTATAGAGGGCAGCCTAGCATAGCCACGCCGACGACAAGTTGCACTACTTGCGCGTGCGTCATCCTGAGGCATTTTAACATATGTTTTGGTTAAACAATTCATGTATATAATAAATTGTCACTCTTCAAAGAAAATTTCAAATAAAATAAGATGTTTGACAGAATAACATCAGTTTTTCTCACCTTGGTTTTCTTTTGTCTTGTACATTATTGTTAATAGACCACGGCCTGAGTTGTTGTCTGAATACTGATGTATTATTAGTAGTCGTCATTGTCCATTTTTGGAAGTCCTTGGATAGCTGGGAAGCAGATGACAAACTCGTTGTTTCTTGCTTCAAGCGTGCATCTTTAAGGAGAGAAAAAATAAGTTATTTTAGATTTTTAAAATAAAAAGTTCTTTAAAATTATACACCATATAGCGATAATCACTCCCCCTCTCCCCTGTCGCGCAATGGACATTATGTATGTAACCATAATGAGAGTGCAACATTTGTGGGTGATCACAGAAGCAATTCAAGAGTAATCACATTTCTTAAAGAGACACTTTCTTCTACATTTATTCTTTCGTGATTTCCTAATACACAGAATTTCTGGCATAAGCAATTTAGTCTTTCCTTTTTAATTTTTGATTTTCTGACAATATATACTGATTTTGCTACTTACGTTCAGCCGCACGTTGATCAGGGGGAGTCGTCAGGGTCATCATGGTTGCTGCTGCGTCAGCTTCTGTATCTATGTAACAAGGACGAAAATAAGGACTACTTAAAAGCTGCATAATAGTAACTTAATTGGTTTCATCTTTACAAAAACAAGCTCGTTGATTGGAACAAAAATGACATCAATTTCCAATTACATCTCCGTGCGTCTCATTTTAAAATGGGAATAAAAATGAAATTTGTGATATGATGACTATCATTTTCAAGACAATTAAAATATTAAATTAATGATACAGGTTTTCTCTAAAACAGTTATTTCTAAATAATGATTACAAATTCATGACATTCTTTTTTTTGCTAAAAAAAATTACATCATCTTGATTGATTCATTAGTCAAGAGGATAACATGAAGCAGACCCCATGCCGTGGGTGACTAGCGAGGAACAAAGAAAAAATCATTATATCTCGCAAATTGACAACTGAATAAATCAAATCTAATTTCATATCTCTTTAATCTGCATTATTAATAATGTAACTGGGATATATAAAATGTTGACAGCTTCAGGCAATTTTGTCACCAGTATCAACCCAGCTCAAATTTCTAATAAGCATTTGCAATTTGGTTCTTTATAAATGCCGAGGGCGGCAGTTTTGCCACTACACAATGAGTGGAAGAACAGATGACGGTGCAGCAAACACACAACAACCATGGCACCCAACCAATCCCACCACCACTAGTCTTCAATAAATATACAATGTAAACGTATATTTCTAGAGAGGGAGAGGGCACAGTCGGTTTGTTTTAATTTAAAATTATTTTCGTGATGATCGTGCAATTGATTGATAATTTGCAATTAATTACAGGAAATTGAGTGTATGAAGTTTGGAGGGGGACTATTATACTTTGTTCTGGGGGAGGGAAGGCTGCGCAAGAATTTACTAGTGAAAATCCATAGAAAATCTTAGATACATTTGGGGGTAGGGGGCTATAATTTGATGTGGATATTTTAGAAAGGTGTTGAGAAGGATTCAAGGCAGGTAACAGAGTAGCATGTAACACGTTACTCTTAGCAACCGTATCACTTGGGATTTCAATTTTTAATTAGCGAACAAGTAAAATGGTCATGAAATGAGCAATATTATTCCCCTCATCATTTGTGCATTTATTTAATCAAACTAGCCGCATTACGGCTTCACAACCCTAACAACAAATTGTGGGGTGAGTAATTATCTCATCTTTGTAAGGAATCAATGCTTTTTTTGATTCATGTCACCCAGACTAATCAATATTTTTCTTTCTTTTTTAAATATTTTGTAATAAATAGAAGCCAGTCAAAATAATTGCTTTCTCTTCTGGTTCTGTTTACTTATTCATTCTTATATCATTAACATTAAGGGTAAAAAGCAGACTACTCAGTTCAAAACCAAAATTTGTTATTTCACACAAGAATGGAACATAAAATTGCACCGGAAATAGGGAGAAACGAATTGTGACAAAATAGACCAAGTCCACAGGCTAAAGCAGAACCCTGTTAAACTTTGTCCAAAATGTGCGACAAATGAAAAACAAATTTCTCCATTTTTTTTTTTCAACAAAACCTAATTCTGTATGCATGCGTTGTTTGTTGTGCATCGTTCGAATGGCTAAATGCAATTTCCAGCGAGCTGAAGGATGGACTTCTGGGAACAGCGATTTACATTAGTTACCATGACAACCAGACTAATGGGTAAGCCAAAGATTTTAGATTCAGATGTCCATGCAATAATGATGCATCTCTTCTTGTACAGAAATTTAATTCTTGCTTAAGTAAGTAAACTAATATGGTAATCTTCAAGCGTGCATCTCATTCAAGTCGGAAGACGATCAGGAAAAGCCATCTCTAATGAAAAAGCCCAATTTTTTGTGAACATCAAGACTTTATGAGGCATTTGAAATTTCAATTACGATAGGAATTGGGTATGAACTCAGCTGGGGTAAACTGCTGAGAATGGTAATTATACGCAATTTATTTCAATGATATTCAGACTAGAATTTTTAGGTAATGGCTTTCTATGGAGCAGACCTGCTTGTTTGTAAATTAACAAAAGGTAAAACCCTTGGTTAAGGTATTTACTCAATTGAGCAAATTATAAAGCAGGTAAATTCACCATAAAATTCAGATTTTTTTGTTTGTCAAAAACAAAGCAAACAAAAGTGCAAATAGAACAACTAACTTGGACCCACCATGTGTTCCTCTGGTCGCTTTCCCCCAAATTGCTGAACCTTTCAAAGGAGCTTTAAAAAAATATTTTTTAATTCCCTCTCTATACCTGACCTCCTCTGTGTGTTTGGATAGTATAAGTAATCACACAGTACCAAGTGATTTATGACTATTGCATTGCCACTAAGATGGAGGTAATGGGAGGGGGGGGGGAGAAATTTTTACAGCTGAAATTCATTTCGGATTTCACCATAATTCTTTTTCAGTTTACAGCGATAGTTATAAATATTTCAGAGTATGGAGTGTGGGCATAAGTGTTTTAAAGCAAATTTGTTTAGGAATAGAGTGACAACACTCAACTAAACGTTCTGAAATCCAAACAGAAAACTATTTACAGGCAAGAAATTATTCATACTGATGAGAAATAAGCAGCACAGTTTTAGTAATTAATTATATCTGATTGGATACGCTGCTTGACTGGAGCATTTATCGATAATTGCAAAACAGAGTAATATCGGGCCTGAGGCTAAAAACACTAACTATAATAGGTAATCCGAGTAAGAAGAAACTTCCCTACACCGCGATAATGCAGCGTTTTAAATCTGTTTTCGTTTTACTTTAAAAAACAATATGCAATATCCATCAAGGACAGTTACATCGTGATTATTATACATTTCATAATCATTATCAGGTTTCAGGTTTTGAAGAAGGTGACAATTGAGTGACCCTGTGTAAACTATAGTGTGCCCCAGAACCTGTGTAAACTATAGTGTGCCCCAGAACCTGTGTAAACTATTATGAGCCCCGGACCCTGCGTTAACTATCGTGTGTTCCAGATAGAAAATCAGTTTGTTTGTCCTTTGCTCTTGTAATATAATGATAATCAATAATAAACTGCTTCAATTTTGTACAATATTTTCCGGGAAATACTACAAATAATTTCTGGGAAATACTGCAAAGTTATATAGCTTTATATGGTTAATTGAGAACATGCAGACAGCAAGTCACAGTAACTTTCACATCATTTTGTACTTGTATCCCAATTTACCAAATTCCGAAAATTTTGACCGATTTTAAAAAATTTACAGTATATCGCCACCAACCCCACTTGGTGAAATATGTCGTCAACTATGATTGATCTAGTTGATAAAGCAGGGAAGTGCATTTTCTAGAATGACATGGAGCCTGACATTATCTACGTGTAGGGGAGGGGGCAGAGGGCAGTATTCAAATGATACCCCTCTATTGTGGATTTAATGACAGAATCCAGAGTTCAAACCGTCTTTATAATTAGAGTAACAACACGATACACTCATCCCTGAGAACTGGTCACTGGTTATCATCTATGATGGATTATAACAATCTATTTATACTACACTGTTAATTCCTGTCATAAAAAAACAACACATTAGCACAGATGTGCCAAGGACCTCCTCCTACTTCTCCTTCATACTATGGACCTAATGCAAATGTGTTATTTTTACACCAGAGATGCATAAACACAGTGGAATTATTCCATCACATGCTGATCAACATACTAAACATTTTTTGTGTATTTTTCTACGATTTATGTCAATTTTTAGAACAAATGAACATAATTTACTCCATATTCTAGAGATTTTGATGAATTTGTTTTTCAGAAAAAATTCAGAAATTATGCATGTTTTATTTCCAGCTTATGTTAGAATGGCATTTTTTGATCACAGGTGGTAGCTTGCAAGGCTGAAGTTTTAAGGTGTAAAACCCTCAAAATGCACTCAAATCACCTTGACTGAAGAGCAGTTTAAATCACAAGCAACTCTGTTTCTAACACTGAACATACATCTGTATCTTATGTGTGTGCTATGTATGGGCCAAAATCTCAAAACAGTACTTGTACCAACTGAAACCAACAGAGTTGTCATCAGACGACCTTAAACTGGGACACAAAACCTCTGCTAGATCAGATAGTATTGTACTCTGGCACAAATGTAATCAAAGCATTGGATCAGTGAACACAATACAGCAGTCTTGGTCTCTATAAGGATTAGTGCCTCATAAAACACTGTACATATGACCAACTACTGATATTACAAAATGCATACATGCAAGGCTGATGTCATAAAACCTAGGTAAATGAGATGGAAGGGGCAAACACATTAGAGCAGAGTGTACATGTATACAACTGTTAATGTGTTGAACTGGATTGATTTCCTATAGCTGTGTAACAGGACAACATCCAAACTTATGTTGACGGTAGCATAGTCACTTAACGATCCGCCTATAAGTCAGACAATACTTACACAGAACACATAAAGAAACTTATTTGATGTCTATTAGTCGTCTGCGATTTCCGACATTTAGTCATATAAATCTCTAATTTGCGACTATTACTGGGAAAATGGGTAGTACCACATTCAATAAGGTTAAAGAAAAAAGAATGAATGTCAAAAGGAGTTAATACACATGTCAATACAGTGTATTTATATCGTGGTCGTGTGCACTGCAGACCCCTTTCAGAGAGCGAAGGAAGCATCTTCACAAGTGACACGACAAGATGAACTCACTTTGGGAGGCAGGGGGACTTATAGATAAATATATATACATTACATCACGCAATTTGCCAGCTGTGCAAAAAAGAGAATAAACTGAATGTCGCAGGTTTACAGGTCAATTAAAAGGAAATTGATTGGCAGATATGAAAATGCACAAATTGGCAGTTTAAAGCATTGTGAGTGTAGAATTTAATACATACCATCTATTGATCGATGGTTCCCCTGGTGCAATCTCTGGTTGTTCTGTTGTAGAATATGTTGAAATATTGGCAAATGAGCTACATCATCAGGAAAAGAAAAAGAGAAGAAGAAAAAATCATTAAAATCAGTCAAATCAAATGAAGATGAATCGTGTATTCCTACAATAATTTGCCATGAACTATGTTCTTGCGTGATTGTTATGAAGCTGTACAAGTGAATGGGGGGTGGCAGTTTGTGGAGGGGGCGAGATGTACATTGCAATACTGGATATCGACCAAATGAGATCATTACAGTAAATTAAGTCTAATAAACATATGATCTTCCATCAAGGCTGAAAGAAAATCCGCTGGTTTTGACAGGTCAATTCTAAGTATTAGAATGCAGAAATCATTATCCGCTGAAGCTTTGTCTATTATAGGGGATTAGAGCGTACAAAGGAACTTCAAACTGACTAATACTGCTCTCTTCACTAAAACATTATTAGAGCACAACTGAAGGAGCATAAAGTTTGCTCGCTTTCAAGTTCAGTGTGTGAGCAGCTAAAAGGAGACAAACACAATATTTAAACAAGGTAGCAAAATAAAACGAGAGTCAAGATGCATAGTGTTGCCCGAGTGATCTCAACAAACATGTAATCTCAATTGAATCTGTTATTTTCCTTGTCTAAAGAGAAAAAGTCTATTATTTCACAAATCAAATATTGTATGAAACCGTACACCACAAAAGATTTACACACATTTATATGATAAAAATTTTGAAATAAATTGCAGAATTTGACACAAATGCAATATTTAGAAGGCGATTCACGATCAACTAAGAAAGTAAAGTGTCAACCGTAGTAAAGGTCTATTCACTTTGCAGTGACAGCAGCAACAACAACAACAACAACAACAAAATATTGCTACAAGATACCATACACATCAGATACATTTCTGTCAGAAGATAGACTTTCAACCATCCTATTGAAACCAATATTTAATACCACAGGGCACACAGATCACTTCGGCTTGTCATACACATAAGCCCATGAACATAGAAATTACATTACTTCTATCTAGTATGACATGATATAGGCAGTCCAAAAATCATTTTCTTTATTATATTAATAATTCATTATTGTTTCATGGTTTGGAAAAATCGGTTTAGAAGAGTCCTGTTCCTGCCAAGTTGTTTTCAAACCTTTAATAAATCCCAGCATGAGTGTATACTAATCAGACACTTTAATTTTATTAACATCGAATGATTAATACCATGCATTGACAATCGTACAACTGAACCAGCTAAGATTGCCGTGAACAGAACCAATTCAGCAATCACAAAATTGATTTCAGAAAAAAAATTGTCACATAATATGAAATATTTAGTGGCGGAGAAAAGCTTGTGAACTGACCCAACAAAAAACATGGCAATCTGCCAATACTGCAATCTACAACAATCCGTACTGCAAGCAGCAGCATTTCATTTTGAAAAAAATAAAAATGTCAAATTTGGACATTTGACGTGTGTAAAACAGTGACAGCTTGACAGCCTGATAGAAGGATCGGTGGCCGAATACAACAGATGCCCAGTCGGCTACAGTCTTCATTTAATTGACTGCATTGATCATGTAACAGTATACGTACATGTTGGCATGGCAACATGACGCTATCATCTTATTGAGGTCATCTGCATCACCAGATCGGTTTTCTACGTTAGCATTCATCCAACTGTGCATTTCAACTGCATCACCAGTTCTGTTTTATCCGACTACGCATTTGCCAAAAATCAGCAGACATTTCTTTTTTTACAGTTTATGTAATATTTAATTGTTCATTTTCAATTAATTTTTTTTTTTATTTCTATGATAAATATGTTCAGTACATGTGGCAGTGTTTAATAAATTTGAGGTATGATTCATCTTCAAGCTTACAAATCATCAGAAGTTTGAGAAAAGATAGGGGGGTGTGCTAGTAATTGTAAAAGCCAGCCAAAAATGCAAACAATTCATTCATTCAACTCTCCACAGCTTAAATGCCTAAAAATAACTGTTCAATATAATTAGACAAAGTGGAGAATCATAATTTCTACTGGTATTCTGTTCAGGGTAGCTCACTGGTAGATGGGGAGACAGCATCAAAATGAGTTAGCTAAACGCCACCCCACCCAACATTAGATTCTGATTGACCAATAATTTTTGCTGAAAGTAACATGAAAAATTAGTCTGTACAGTAACAGTAATATGAATGTTTTGTAATATTTCTAATACATCATTGTATTTGTGGTCACATGTAAGAGTCTCCATATAACAGTCTAGGAATGAAAGTAAAAGCAATCACCATTTTCCTCTTATGTCACCACCATTTAAAAATTTTGAGAGTGAAAGTTTTGAAGGTGAAATTAACCAAGCTATAGAAGTCTCTGCAGATTTACACATCATTGTTTGGTTCATCATCTAAACCAGAGGCCCACTACGTGTACAATTGAAAAGATGGCCGCGCAGATTATTTGTGGCTATCGCCATGGCAACCATCCATAGAAGAGCTCGTAGTGCAATTGCTATTCGTGTGTATTGGCGGAATTAAAGCACAATGACAAAGTGTTCGATAATAGCAATAACTGCTTCCAATAACGGTGTTGGTTTTTATGATTAATTTATCAAATACAGGCTTTCCACTCACGCTGTTATGGGAAATCAATGAAATCTGTATGCCACACCCTGCAAGGGACATGTAAATACTACTCTGCCCCACTACACTAAAAACTTGCAAAATATACAACTGTCTAATACATGCTTGAATATGGGTGATTGTACCAAGCACAAGGTGATATACACCCTTTCGGGGATATCACAAAATGTTATACCCCACAATGTGGCATATACATGAACGCAATAAATGATTTACAAAAAAAACCTCAATTTACCCCGCAATTTTACAATAAACTAACACTGAGAAGTGCACTTAAAACTAAAATTGAATTTACTATATACTGAATTATTAAAATATGATGTATTTTGTTCATATACACACTTCTATGTAAAAGTACACTACTAATAGAACAAATATGGTACAGACAAATTCAGGCTGTAGCGTTAACACTGCTCTGTCTGTGCTAAGTGCTGATACGGTATGTTATCACCTTTTGTGTCAAATAGTCAATCAAACCTTTAGTTGAGGGATTTTGAATCGCAGGAAGTGATTTAGTACTATATATCCTTCATTCAGCATGTCTACAATTTGCCTACATACTCAAACTTATTGTGAGCGTGGACCTTGCATTCTTCCATTACATAGATACAGACACTCAGTTGGAAATGAGACCGGTCTAATTCCACTAATTGCTGCAGATTCAATTTTATCAGTGAGGCTGCCGCAAGATCTCAACATCCGATCTTTGGCCTGAGATGAGAGAGAGGCCTCGTTTCAATAAAGATGAAATCTATTAATTTGAACGGAACGTGCAAACAAGAAAAGAAACAAACACGGGTGCAGTGTTTAAAATAAGTTCACTCACTAGGTATTGCATATACAACTAAAATTACCGCTCAACTCGATACGATCAATAAATTTCCATGTTGTTTACTAGGTTTATTACAGAACATGAACGATGCCCGGGAGCTGTATTAAGCGGTCTGTACAACACGAATTGATAAAGGTACGCATTATTTAAAATCATCTTACAATGGTTCACTGATTTAGGTCAATTGATTATCCCTGCACTGGTGTCCTTGAGTTAAAGACAGATATCAGTGCCCAGACACTCTACCTGATTGTGTTTTCTGCAGCACTGAAGAAACTTACAACAACAAATCATCTAATCTATACATTTTCAGGATCACCCTAGACAATTTATCATGCAATATAATTGTACAACACAAAAGTATTATCAAATGTTGATCTTTCTTTAGGTGGGTATCTTAAACTTGGCAGGTACAGTGTTTACATTTAAATTTTGATTTAGTTGCAGACACACACGTTTTGCTTTATTATTATTTATGATAAAAATTGGAATAAGTACAACATTGGTGACTACAGACTACTGTATCCATGAATGGATGGCTGCAGCAATGACAAAAGACAGTATGAAGTGGGAAACCTACTCAGATTGTTTTCCAAATCACTACATGTGGTATGCCGACACAGACATTGGAAGTAATAACAAATTTAATGGCTGAATTACTACCAGTAGTAGTTGTTAGTATCAAACTTGGTGTTTGTTTTACAACCATTCTCTTGTCCTTGAAGAAATTCAGTGTCAGTCGAGCACACAGGCCTGCTTCACGAATCTATCTCGGCTCAGAGCTTTCTAACCGAATTTGCATTCTCCACACGACCTCACACCAAAAAGCATGAATATAAACGATCTAGTGGAGGCAATAGGTTGACACAGACGTGGTTTAGGGGATCTTTAACATTTCCAACTACTCAAAATAAACCTATTCTGCTCTAGCAGCTCCTGTGGGAGAAATCCACCAAGATGGATGTGCTCAGTGTGATTAGTTGTCATGGCAACCACTCTCACTCACAAGTGCTCTCCTGGCAAAAAAAGAAAAAAAAGAAGGCATGCCACACCCTGAACAATGTGAGATAAAGATCTCTCCCATCTGCATATTTCTAAGCAATAATAAACCTGGAATAAAGACTAAACCCCAAAATATTGAAAAAAAGGTATTTGTCATTCGGAGCAAAAGTGTCACCACCAGCTGTGACAGTCAGTATTTACTAACGATTCAAAGGCAGGAAAGAAAAACAATTTGTCATTTTGTCTCCAAAGCACTTTTTTTTTTTAAAATGTGTCTGTTATTAAACATGCTGTTCCTGCCAAATCCCTCCTCCCTACCTCATGCTAATATTCACGTGTCTCACAAAATTAAAACAATAGATTTTGAATTCAAGAGAGTTTTTCAGGAAGGTTCAAACTTACCTGCAGACGATGAAAACAAGCCTTGAGTATTTGAAATACTGAAAATAAAATAAAAGTGATGCATTAATTTTATATATATATATATAAATAAATATAAATAAATAACACACATATGTTCTCTCCAGAAATATTTAAAACCACTGTGGCAGTAAAAAAAATTTTGCATAATTATTCCCAACAGAAATTGTTCTCATTCAATTCTACAATGAACAAAATCAAAACTGTTATTGTCTCAATACACACAAGTTTCGGCAACTTATCTATTTGTTTTTAAAAAGACAGCAATGGTACAGTGGAAATGTCGCTGTTGCAGTCAGGATATAACTGTGGTAGACCAGTGTGGCGGTAAAACAAAGCACAGTGGCGGTACCACCATGCTGTCTGTATTCTGGGGAGAACACCGGGTAATAGAAATCGACAAGGCATTAGATGTACAACTAGCAAACACCATTGTGTGGAAAAAGTTCAGGCCGATGGCAAGGACAAGCGGATATGCCACTATAAAGGGTAATAACAGCAAGGAAAGTAGTTGCTATTGTCCATGTTTAAGAAGTGGAACAGTATTCTGAGTAAACAAGTGGTTAACCACTTCTCAATATGCTCAATGAACTTGAAATGAAAACCAATGATTTTTTTTTGTAAGCAGGGCGAGAAATTGATACCATGGAAAGTGTAGATATCCAAGAAGAAATACAGTCAAATTAAAAACAAACTGTGGTGTTTGTCAACAACATTAGTATAATTCAAAAAACAAGGTTATACATTTCATCCAAGTGCAAGGTTATGGTGATCGCAGCTATTTGTTTTTTTCTAAAACTCCTGAATTTCTAAAGCAGCCAATGTTGTAGAAATCTGTTTATATTCATTTTATCCTGCTTTTGAGGTCCTTTAAAACGATTCAATATCATGTACTCACATTTTGATGGCCTGCATAATGCATAAATAATAAAAGGTGAAAACATCACGATTTGCCGCATCTATGATGAATACACAATGGCCAAGGACTATTTCCGGAGATACTAATACTCTTTATTCTATATGTGCATACTTCATAGACAAGTATTTTTCAAAAGAAACTGAAGAAGTGGGGGAGGGGGTGCTGAGTTTGTTTACCAATCAAGTGTAGTGTAATGATCGACTGAATTAACAACACTTGTATGCACTGGTTTTTCAAGTCTTTAAAGCTTCAAAGGCTACAACAATGAATGCGAGAAATTCCAACGCAATTTCCAGAAACGTTTCCGCTCCCACTCAAATTTAAATGGTCAATATAAAAACTGATAACATCCTTGACAACAACGATGACCATCATAATTATGGAGGCATCTGGGGACATTCCATAATGGTTTTCAAACTGACACGTCAATCATCATCATCACTATGGCAACCTAAAGTAAACAAATCCCTGACAGATGGTACCAGGTAGAACATTGATCGTTGGATTGTCAAAATATACAGTCAGCTTTTATAATTTTGATTTGAATTTAATCATTGCGAGTCAAAAAAAACACAATGATCCAGGGTATCGATCCCATCTCTATCTAATTGCCACTTCTTTAGATTATCATTGTCCATTTAACTTGCTTATAATAAATACATGTTTTAGTCATTTTTAGACATAAAAGAGATTAATAATTAAAATTACAGTTCCAGAAGGAGAAAATTGGTTCAGCATCACAGCACCATAGTAACAATATAATATTCAAATTACGCGACACGAGTATTGTCTAGTCCTCCTCACTATCGCCATTTTAGTTTTATAGGTTAGTTTTTAACTATTACAATTGTCATAAAATTGTGCACTCTAATTTAGAAAAAAAAATTAAATTCAAAACAATACTCAAAAAATATCCTGTGGTTTATATAGTTGCACAATGCATGTTACGCATGTTGATCGTTTCACTTTAAAGACAAGGACAAAAAGAGTTAAGCCATCCAGGGGAAAATCAATTAGTAAAGGGAGGGGGAAATTGAATATGTTAACCCTAAATGTCACTGACAGGTGTTAAGAACATGCGATTCCGGATCATTTCATTAGCGATCTAGCATTCCGTTTGCCCGTTTCAGTTCCTAATGCCAACTGTCATAACTACGAACACTCAGCCTCTTGATGCATGATATAATTTTACACAGTCCTAACAAGGGATTTGCTGTTGCACCTGTTCGTAACTTCACCAGCCGGACAAATTGACTTTGTTATGAACAAGTTTGTCCATCAAAAGTTCACGCTGAATTCTATCCCTGTTTACACAGATCTACACTGGGGTGTGTTTGAGATGAATGATGGCTTGTAGTCACTCAACAACAAAATCTGATATTTTATTTAATGAGATATTCATATACTACATGGAATGTTAATACATTTGAGGAATGTCCAAAGTAATTGTAAACAGGTAAACAGGAAAACTAGTCCCCCGTTTCTCTATGATCATACCAAAACAGGATTTAACAAGGTGGGCAGTCCCCCCCCCCCCACCACCAAATACTCCTACAGCTGTAACCTGATCTCAGTTCAAACACAAAGCTATAGCGCCGAGACTTTCATCTGCCTTTCATTTTGAAGTCAAATTTAATAAGTAAACTAAGTACCTTAGCTGTAGTCATAGAGAAGTAGACACAGATATACATATAATCCCAGTCTCTCTGTACACATTCCGGGCATCAGTCATCCTAATAACGTCTCAAATTACCAAAGTGTAATGGATTTTACCTGTGTATGTGTTTTGGCTTTTCGCTTTTTAATTCAAATTTCACTTCATTTGCATTCTGAAGTGCAAATGCCGATGCCTTCTTACAACACATTATACTTGCAAATTTTTCTTTTTAGTGGCAATTTTTAACCAGCTTTCAAAAACAAAAAATATCATTAATTTTATTATTATTATTATTTTTTATGTCATGATAATTTATAATAATAGCATTCTACAATAACACCATTCATGATTGGGTGGGGTCAATGAGGAAAATTATTGTTTACACACAGGAGACAGGATGGACTAGAAGGAGATAAAAATAAGCGGATAAAGAATTCATAAATTAATGATCATGATGACAGTCTGTGTAAAGCTATCTAGCCTAGTCAGTAATTATCGTATGTCATTATGTCTACTACCTGCAAAACATTATTTATTTACCTTTTAAGATGCATTTAACATTCTTGGCAATGATTGCACCACCTTCCTTCCAAAACACATAAAAAATTTTAACGAGGCGTTGAATTTGTTTTTCATTTAACAAAAAGCACAAAGATGCATTTTTTTTTCTATCAATTTTTTTTTTTTTTTGGTTGTTCTCAGTTTGATCTTTGGCTGTCAAATCCAGTCAATATACCGTACCTGACTAGCATTATTCAGTATGCATGGACTGGCATCTTTAAATTGAACAAAGCAAAGCGATGTCAATTCAAGTTTTCAATCAAACAGACACGGCTAATCAATTTTTACAAGCGGGAAGTGCGGCTGTATAAACCCCGAACATGGCCTTACGTTGGCATTTGTTTCCCTTCCCGCTTGTTTCTCCCTGCAGCTGTTAAAAGACCCAGCCATGCCGCCGCTGGGAGTATCAGCCCTGCACAATAAAGTGACACACTAGGAAAGGAACGAGTGATTAATAGACAAGTAGTTATGTCTATTCTGTTCATGGAGTAATTTCCTCCAATCATCCTGTCATATTTCATGCCTCCTCGCGATTACAATAAAATAATTTCTCATGCACCAATCAGACTGGATAATTAGTTGAAACGTTCATATTATGCTCTCCAAAACCGACTGACAAAAGCAGCGTTAAAAATCTATTTTAGTAGTTGAATTAATAAATACTTTATAATGTGAACAAGTCCCAGTATAGGCTGACCTGTCAAACCGGTATAGTGTATGATTGCATGCGTTTAAACACAGCAGTGGTCGGTGTAAAAGCTGCTTATACAAGTTTGAATTTAGCTACAGTTTTTACTACTACGATGGCATTGAATACTAATGATTTACTCCTAGTCAGTAAGTCTATCAGTCTAAAAGTCCTCTGAGATGAACTCATCTTTTTGTGTAAAACTCTTGGGTAATGAATGGCAAAGAATTCACTTATTACCAAGCTGACTGCTTAATCAGTAGCATTCATGCTCAACTGCTCCAAATTGACTTTTACTCCTGTATGATGCGCAATTTAGGCCTTTATCAATGTCACAATATACAGTCTGAAAACAAGAAACTCCCCAAGTGCAATATTAATTTCAATCCAGATAAAAGGGATGAAGAGAAAACTTAAAAAAGCCAAAAAATTAAAATTCATCAGACAAACAATACTCAAACGTTACTATAATGGACTGTTGAATTGAACTCAACTGCCCTCACTATTTTACGGTGAAAGACTAACTGAACTTGCAAAAACACCAGAATGAAGCCAAGCTATGAAGCTAATAGCGGCTTATTTCGGGGTAGAGCGCAAGTTGTTACCTTGGCACATATAATGATTATCTGAAAGTCAATTACAAGGAAATAAGGAAATGAAGAAGACGAGTACGCACACATCAAGTGAAACTACGTAATTTCTGTTCAGAGTATACATCAAACAACAAAATACATGTATATTGCTTTTATCGCAAATTAGCAGTGAAACACCAGTTTAATCAATCATAAATTACTGCATAAAACGTTAATAATGAACAAAAATAAAAGAGTTTGGTCCACAAGTTTATTTGATCAACACAGGTGTGTATTGAAAGACTAAAATAACAGTGCTTCATGATTCAACATTTCCTCGCTTAGTTAACATTGCCAGTATTGCTGATCAGAATCGGTTTGATTGATGTGCGACTCTTGTGGAAACGTGAATGACGCAAACTCAATGTATGTTTTGGGTAGGTACCAATGAATGGAGGCGATGCGATGCGATTCACTCATTAGGGAATGCGATATAAAAGACCTAAAGTTACATCCCCAGAGTCTTTGAAATACGGTAAGAACAGCGTTATCGTATTTACTCAAACGGAAATCACCACGTTCAAAGAAATTAATCTTTCACATATTACTGAAGAAAATGATACTTCAACACCATTATAGTCATACATAGTCATATTCAATTTTAGTTTTGTTAGATTTGTGCAGAAGAATTTATTTTTTGTTTTACTAGCCATAACAGTTTTAATTTCTGTGTCCCCTGAAAATAACTACAGACATCATACACAAAAACATTTTTTAAGAGGAAATTCATGTGAATTTGTGAATAACAATTGATATATTGTAATAACAGACAGCAATGCAACTGTATAGTATGTTAATGTTACATTTTTTAAAAACAAAAAAATACCAGGTCAGGAATACTTGTGTTCACAGAGGTCAATGAATAAATTTTTTCAATATGGCTGCTTCAATTTCCATGGTTACTAACATGCCTCTCATTGGCTGCCTGTTATCTGAGTGATAAATTTGTGAGATAAAGCGGCTTACCTTGATATGGTTGAAAGTGGTGTGCTATGCGGAGACTGGGGTGGAGTTGTAAAAATGTGGTGGTATGGATGATAGGGGGTCTTCTTTAACGCTTGTAGGAGATTCGGCCGATACTCTGGATCAATACACCACAGGGACCCTTTACCAATTGTCTGTGAAAGAACAACGAATAAATATGCAAGTTAATTACATGATCACAATTGTTGTATCTTTGTTTTTCACTTTGCAAATCATGTGATATCAGACACTGCGTGTTCAAACAGCTGTGATAAGAGGTACTTGTAGCAGTCCGGACTTTGGCGACCACATAAATATAAATCATTCCAAACAAGAACGAACACATCCAGCAGTTCATTTTGAGTTTATTTTACCTCTCAATTAAACAAGTTATCAATGTTGTATAAAGTTGACAGTTGTTAGACTCAACTTTGCACAATAATGATAAAGCAATGTTTTTCCAGGAATTCGTGTATTAAATAACGACTTAGTAATTTATTTTTAAAAAGCAATAAATCATGTAGGATAGTCTGATATTGGTATTCATTAGAAAAAGGTGAAACACCGGGTCATTCCTGGTTACTATTCAAACAGATGAAACATACCAAAATTATAATTTTTTCTTTAAATAGTGAATCATTTCACTTTCTCATTCCATACACAGGATAATATAAATTTGAAATTTAAATGCAGAGAATAAAAGTCAAATCAAGTAAAAAATTAGGATTCGGCAATACTCAACATCGTAGTGCCAGTTTTTGTTGTTTTTTCATTAACTTAGTAACAATAGCCCTATTGTGCAATTTTAAGTATAGCTGTACTGGAATCAAGTGACCTCATCTGAACTCTGAACATCATCTAAGCTGGCAGACTTACTGGCAGGCAGTCCTTGGCCACTCTGGACTGCCAAAATCTTTTAAATAGTAATCAAAAAACACTTATAAGTGAACACCAGCATTGATTTTTTTTATCACAGCTGTAAGTTTTAATTCCTTTAATCTGATAAAATGAGAGATTCATGACTGTAACCCCACTACCATTTATAAAAAAAAACAAAAAAAAAAAAAAACTTGCATGTATCTGAGGAGTGTAATTAACCCAAATGTATCGCTATAATCTGAATGACTCTATGTCAATTTTGCCACTCATCATTCATTGACATTATTCAGCATTGCTCACCTAAGTAGATTAGGCTAGATATCATCAAGCCTGCTTTGCTGCCCACATGAAGCGACTTAGTAAAACAACAAGAGAAAACCACCTCGAATAGCCCTAAACTACTGCAGGACAATCGACAAGACACAGATCTTGACCAGTAAAAAATAGCACTGTTTTCAGCACAAAGTCAGTTCAATCCCTGAGGAATGAGGGGTCCGAATTTAACGGTTGGATATTAAATTATTTTCAAGTGGTTCAAATGTATCATAAAATGCAAGATGAGATGATTACAGATACCTTTATTAATTAGGTGCATATTCCAATAAGAACCCAGACTTTCAAAATATTAACACATTGATAACAGCTTCTTCAAATGATGGCATATCTATACCCTAAAGATATGCAATGACTTCTAATACATAGTCAGTTGGTGATGTCTCCATTACGAGATCATCTATACAGCTCCTTCCCGCCAGGTAGACAATTTTGTATGCATGCAGTAACGACTCTGCTACATGGCAAAAATGGCGCCACATAACAGCAATCCCTTATATTTGTCGTTGTCGTCAAATTACCGCTGGGGCTTAAAGATACATATACTCACAGTAGGTGAGTGGGCAGGTAATTTGTTGGACTACATACAGTAGTTGATATGGATGCATTTCAAGTGTTAGCTCTTGGGTATGTAGTGCAAACTTCATTTATTCATTAAATCTCTATAAAATGGATTTTTAAAAAGAGAACTTTCCAAAAACAGTTGATCCAGTCATCACTGGAACTGTAAACTTATATATATACATATATAAAAATACATGCTTTTGTTTCAATAATGGCTGCTACTTGTGTTGCATAGAACAGAACTTCATTACATAGAAACGTGCCGGCCGCGGGTAATGGTTAGATGAAGGCGTTTAGGGAAAGAAACAGTTTTCAGCGCAGATGATGACACAGGAATCATAAACACCCCCTCTAGTCTTTAAACTGTAATGCAAATATCAAAACATAATGATGGAGAAACCAGTTGGGAAAAATTAAAAATAGAACACTTAGTCTCAAGGATTTTTTTCCCTCGCTTTTTAAAGTGTTGATGAGATTTTGGAACATCAGCAATAAGGAATTTGGTGATTTACAGAATCGAGTTTATTGCTCAAGGCAAATAAAACAAAGCAGAATCTGTGTAAAAAGGAACAAATTGTGACTGGGTAATAACTCAGGCAAATGTGCTCACACATCAAGTACAATTACAGTTGCCATGAAAAACTAAAAAACGGAAAAAAACAAAAAACAATTGAGCTTATCGCTGATAAAAAATATGACAGTAATTACCGGGTAACGAAAGCCCGCAGGAAATGGCTAACGGTGTTACGTTAATGCATCACTGTTCTCAGTAAGTAAGCAAAGCTAAGGTTTATTCGGTTAATAGACAGTTGGAAAATGAAATCAATTGCTAAATGCAATGCTCAGCTGTAGTTGTGGGGCTCTACCTGTATAATGATCCATTCTTTACGACTAAACCCCTTTTGTGCCAATCTACAAGCTAATTATGTCTGATTGCTAATTGCATTTTTTGTTATCTTGACATAATGTCTGGTTTACTTTCTTTATATATCAATCATACCCACTGACCTGAGCTGATAATTAAATCATATTTAAAAATCGTGAATAAAAAATCGTCTGCATTGGAGCCTTATATAAATTACTTTTTTTTTTTTTTCATAGGTGAAATACTTTACACACC